CTGTAAGTTAACTTCCATTTTGGGCTATGAGACAGAAATAACACAGGTGAGCTGGCACCTTTTAGGGAGTTGGGCAACCTTACCTGTGCCTGTTTAGCCTACCTCCCTGCTCAGGACCCAGAGATCAAGTGACAGTCATGTAACCTACAGGGCTACAATATACAAAGAGAGGCCTCCAGCTCAGTCAAGGAGAGAGATTCAAAGAAAGATGATGGCTACAAGACTTTCCCATAGATGACTTCTTCCTGGAGAGCTGACCGGGAATGTAGCTCTCCAGCAAGGGAGCTGGCCAAAGAGAGATTGCAAGGGAGACTAGATTGAGGTCACTATAGGAAGTGGCCCTGGGAAACAGAAACAATGTAGTTTGGAATTCCAGGCAGACAGCCTATGGCATTAGGGTCTCGGGGTGGAAACCTATAGGACAGGGAGGGAAAGTGGGCATTGGTCCCCACCTATGGCACTATTTAGAGAGGTGCATGGAAACACCCTGCACCAGTGGGGTAAACAAGGGCACTGAAAAACTATTTGGAGCCTGGTGGAAGAGTACACAAAAAGAAAAGCTACAGCTTGGGGAAAACTGACCTTTGAAGCAGGGCTGGGATCCTGTAATGAAGCTGAAAGGAAGGATTATGCTCATTTCAGAACTTCATTTTACTCTGAAAGAGGGGTGGACTTTTGACCAGAAGGTCAAAAAGTGTTATGGTAGCCTGTAAGTTCATGGAAGATAAATGGCAGTGAGGAAACTGAGGCGGCATTGACCTCCAAAGCCAGATGGAGTAAGATGCTGCTATTACAAGGAACAATAATTTCTCTGAAATGACATACACATTTATAATTGTGCATTTTAATTCATACCCTTTTGCTGTTAGCATACCGATCCACCCAGAAATGAAAAAAATGTATCAAGAAACTTTCCATTACACATACAGGGCCTGGCTCTGCAGGCCCTTTATACCATGAATGTCTCATGGGATTCTGGGGCATTTCCATGTAAATTGAAATGACTATTGAGAAAAGGTTTTCAGGATTGGACCTGTATGACAGTAAACATTGAATCTCTGACATTTTATAGATTTCCTACCAAGTTTAAGAAGCAGTACTGACACTTTCTGAAGAACTTAAGTTTCAGCTGAATAAACTCATTCTTTACAATCAAATATTCAAAGAAGTAAAAGTGACTACTGTAAATGCCTTCTGGTTATTAATGGGTTTTCAATGCTCCTCACTTTCAAGACAGATGAAACATTCCTTCCACAGTACTACAGTCTTTCTATGAAAATATTTTGTTATGAAACATACCCAAAATATCTTGAAACTCATCATCAGCCTGTATATTTTTTCCCTTTGCTCGCTTCTTTCCCATATTAGTGCTTTGTAGTTTTCCTTACACAGAACCTAATGGGGAAAAAAAACATTAAAGTCAAAACTAGATTTTGATTCTGCTTGTAAGAGGTTATACAAAAGGTAGCAGCAATCAGACAAATTTTAAATTAGCTGAATTTCAAGGGGACATGAATTCATAATATTTCTGTACTTTACAGCTAATGCACATTTTGACCCCACTTCTGCAACCAGATCTGAGCTCTGAGGTCTATGGGACTCCACAAGGCTCCAGAGGTCCGCAATTTGTAAGAGTGGGGTCTAAACAGTCAGCAAAATTCCCCTACACTTTTTATGGCTCACCTTAATGGAGTACGGCCACAAAAGTTTTAGGAGGCAACTGTCATATTATTAGTTTATCATATTTAAATACTGACGATACTTATTTAATGAACTCTCTACTTTTGATTTATTGGAAATTCCTTTTTTTTATGACTTGCTCAGAAACATTAAATAAATTGTTATTCTAGCAGCATTTGACAATATACTGGAGATTCAGATTTTTTGTGGCATTGATGTCTCTTCAATGCTGGGAGATTTCAGTTTTCGTATTCATAGAACTATCTAGTAAATAATGCAATTTAGAACAACTGTTTGAGTATACCCTTAGAAAGGGACCTAGAGAGGCATCAGTCTCTAACATCATGACAGAGCCTTAAGCAAACTGTGCATTTATGTTTGTCTTAAATAATAATAATAATAATTTAAAAAATCAGGTACTGTATGTATGGTTTAATGTATATAACAAGAAAAAGCACAAGAGTAGCTGAATTCAGAGGGGACACCCCCCCCAAGAAAGGTCAGATATCAGACCTTTGGCATGGAAAGAAATTCCAACCACATTCTCAAAAGGACAAGTTTACCCAGGTAGTAACAGATTTAAAGATTAAAAAAAAAATTATTAAAGTTAATGTTTAAAATCAAATTTACACAAGTTAAGAAGGAAGGTACTGTACATCTGGGGTAAGGCTTGAGTTATGAGGGATTACAAGTGTCAGTTACAAGGTTCATAAGATATATACATACCGCATAACCAGCATAGACCCAGATTGGGATGCATACTACATTCATTTATGTGAAAGATGAAGTAGCACTTTAAAGGGTGTGGCAAATTTAACACTCTGAAAATTCAGACTAAAGAAATTATAGATTTGGAAAAGAAATTAGTTACACACTCAAAAATAAAGTTGCAATTGTCAACCTTTAGTTAAATCACAGTCATGCATTTCTAGCCTTGTCCGGGTTGAACTCTATCTTGCCAACAGAATGAGAAGGCAGCTGAGAATAGGTAAGTATTAAACAAATCTATGTTGTGGCTGGGAAGATGAGTCAGACAGGATCTCCTCAACTCTACTAAGCTACAAAAATACTATTTATGTAGTATTAAAGGGTGTGATTTAGACCCAACAGTTTGTTAAGGCACCTGAAAGCCTTTAAAATACACCTGCTGTAGAATAGGAATAGGACATTGACACAGGGGCACTATTTTTAGAAGCAGTTTACCCCACTGTAACTTCACTAATATTTGCGGAGTCTGGTACACTAGGAATAGGACATACCTCTGATACCTACACAGTAGGTGGCAAATGTCCAGTGTAAGTGGTGCCCACTGTACCACGTATACAACCTCTCTATCTCTAGGCATTTCTCCCACCACCACCGCCAGGCCTTCACAGGAGACGTATCCCATTGGGAAACACACACACACACACACACCCTCCTCCCCCACAGTGCAGAGTGAGTGTCACGCAGCACAACACGTGTTCTTTGGTCCATATCTGCCCAGGGACCCTGACCAACGAGACCTCGCTGCCATAGGTGCTGGAACTGGGGGTGCTACTGCACCCCGGGCTTGAAGAGGTTGTTATCATATACAAGGTTTACAGTTTGATTCAATGGCTCTCAGCACCCCTGCCCGCTGCTATCCCAACTCCCAGCCGCGAGGGACCCCGGGGCAAGGCTGCTCCTGCAGCTGCCCCCCTTCTCCTCCCCGCCCCAGGGCGCGGGCGCACAGGGCTGCCTACCCGCCCGCGTGGAGGGGTGAGCGCCGCGTCTTCCAGCTCCTGCCACCAGCGCTGCTGCTGCAGCCGGCCCCTCCTCTCACACTAACCCAAGCCTGGAGTGCAGCGCACCCCACCTCGCCCGGCAACTCGGGGGCAGCCCGCTGGCTCCGATTGGCTAGTCAGCCTCATCTGAGCCCGCCTCCCACCCGTTACGGACAGCCACCAGAACCAGTAGGAAAGCTCCACAGCCCCAGCCGCGCAGAGTCGGGCCGGAAGCAGACACGAGGCGGCTCAGGCCAGGAGAGTAAGTGACTTAGAGACTGGTGGGGGTATAAGGGAGAGTAAATAACGTGGTGGACTCTAGAGGAACTCACTGAGCCTAAGTCCCGCACCTGCCAGTATCGTGAAGCGAGTTGTTTTACGACACATATTTCCGGCTCAGCGTAGTTTTACGGCTCCCGCCCTCTTCCCGTGGCTGAGCTGTTAGAGGGAACGGCTCTTTATCACTTCCGGTGCGTTGCATAGTGGGAAACTGGAGGGGGGTTGAGGTCAATCGGCGCGAGACCGCGAATGAGGAAGTGCAAGACCCGCAGCGCATGCGCAATAGCGGAGTGGCCTGTATACGTCCCGGCCCAGGGTGGAGGCGCAGGCGCAGTCGGAGGGGTGTGAGCTGGGGGGTCTGTGCTGGGCTGCGGCTACGTGGGAAGCTGTAGCGCTGCGCGGTGTGAGCGGAGCGGCGCGGCGGGGCGGGGCGCGGCGGGGCGGGTTCCGGGCCCAGCGCGGTGATTTAAAGCTCAGATTTTCAAATAATGGGGGAGGCAGCGACTCTCTCTGGAGCAGCTTCGGTTGGTGAGAGCTGAGCGCTTCTTCCGGCCCGGGGAAGGTGCCCCAGCCTGGCAGCTGCACGCGCGGCGGGACCGACTGGTCCGCCTGAGTAGTTACAGCGTCTCGCTAAGGGACCGTTCAGTGTAGAGTGGCCCACGGACACTTACCAGACGCTCTAACTACTTATGCTAAACAGTCGGTTCCCCCTTGTGTTTGGCTGTTCCCCAGACCGGAGGAAGAGCTGTGTGTGTCGCTCAGGAAGCTGGTTTCTTTCACCAACAGACGTTTGGTCCAATAAAAGATACGACCTCACCCACCTTCTCTCTTTAATATCCGGGGACTGACACAGCTACAAGTACACTGCTGTGGACTTAGCATAGACTGTGGTTCTACTTTTGAGATGTGGTGTGTGTTTTAAAATTAAAAAAATAATTTGTTCTTCTTTCGAGAATGGGGCTGCTTCCTCCACTCCTAGGAGTGCTTATTATAACAACTGCCAGTGCTGGAAACCCCATTATGGGGTATGAAAGTCCAGAGAGATTCTTTGGGGTCAAGCATCATCACTTGTAAACATTTCTCTAATTAGCATGTAGTTAACCATTTGGTAAAGTTGGAAGGCATAATAAAATTCATCACACTCTCCCATGTCTATATTGGCTCTGCAGGGCTAATATTAGCAAAATCTTGTAGACGATTTTGTCAATACAGTAAATATGTCTTTGAATGTACAATGAGCTGATCCAATGAGCAAGAATGTCCCATTTCTACAATCACTTTTCTGACCACTTTTCTGTACTTTGATGCTTAAATTGGCACTATATGCCTAATTTCTCCACATATTATTGGAAGGACAGACCCCTAAGCATAGCCTTATCCAGCACTGCAAATACCAAAACAATGCAAATGATGAAATTCAAAACATATCACACTGTGTAAGCCAAAAACATTTGAATGAAAACACAGGGTGAAATCCTGGCCCTATTGAAATCAATGGGATGTCATGAGTGTTCCCATTGATTTAAATAGGGCCAAGATTTCAGCCACCATTTCTATATTGGCCCTATCCTGCAAACCCTTAGCTGATCAGCTCTTATGAGCAATCCCATTGATTTTGGTGGGATTTATATGAATTAATATTACTCACATAAGAGTTGCATGATTGGGCCTTAAACTTGTATTTGTATCTATTAGAATTGTCTTTTCATTTTTCCCTCTAATTTCTTTATTTAGGAAACAGCTAAAACATGGCCAAAATGACTAATTTGGAAGAAGCTGAAGTACAACTTTCTGAGTTAGACCTACTTTCTAGTATGTTTCCTGATGAAGATGAGTTTATTGTGACTGACCAGTTGGCTGTAGCAGAACTAAAACATTATATTGATAATAAGACATCAGAGATCCCATCTTCAAAAGTTCAGTTTATACTGAATGTAAAACAAGAGGTTGCTGATGCCAATATGGTAATGTAGCCATATTTTTGAAAGAAAAAAAAAAAAGACATTTAAGATCAGATTTTAATGCCCTTTTTTTTTTCTTTTCTTTTTTTTTAGGTAATGCTTTCTTTATCCTGTGCTTTACCACTTAACTACCCAGCTGTTCTACCAGAAATTACTGTCAGGTACTGCATATTTCTAGACAGGGAACTAAAAGCTAAAATTTACTAGATCAATAAATAATAGCAAGAGACAGCCCCAAAGAGCACACAGTCTAAATAAACACGACAGACAAAGGGTGGGAAGGGAAACAGAGATGCAAAGTGGTGAAGTGGCTTGCTCAGGGTCATGCAGCAGGTGAGTGACAGAGCTGAGAATAGAACATAGGAGTGCTAGCTCCCAGTACAGTGAAATTATTGTGGCTCCATGCGGGCACAGTGATGGTCTTCCAGCGTTGATCATTTTACAGGACCAGTGTCCAAGTAAGGAACATAGGCTCAGATTCCCAAAGATATTTCAGTGGGAGTTAGGTTCCTAAATACCTTTGAGGATCTGGGCCATAGTCCATCGTGACAATGCTTCCAGTTGGTTCTAACTTAAGAAGTGAACGGTTGTTTAATAAATCTCATCCTTCTGCTTGGCAGAATATTGTTACTCACTGACCTGCATTATTTCTGTTTTAGTATTTTTGTTTGTTTCTGTTACATTGTATATCTCAGAACAATACTGCAGTGGCCATCATAAATTCTCATCTGGGCTTTTCCTGTTTAAAATTTACAGCTATATAGTGCTATATATAAAATCTGCAGCTAGCTCTTTAAAGGCTAAAATGGGATTTTCTTAGGAAATATTAACTTAAATGTTTTAGCCAAACAAAATGCTTTTGTACCAGTTCTAAACTAACAACATAATAGAGTTTTTAGACATTTTGATTTCCCTACCTTTTAAAAAAGATATGCTAACAAGATGTGTTAATATTTTTTCCTTAGGTCACCATCAATAAGCCGATCACAGCAGATTCAGCTGAACACAGATCTAAAAACATACTTGAAGAGAAACTGCAGTGGTGAGGTCTGTGTATTAAATGCAAGAGAATGGGTTAAAGATCATGCAGCTGCTTATATCGATAAGGAGCTTTCATCTTCCTCAGTGACGACATTGAGGACTATGCAGTCAGAAGATGTCATTTTCACTAGATTGTGGATCTATAGTCATCACATCTACAACAAGCATAAAAGAAAGAATATTGTTGATTGGTCTAAGGAGCTCGCTCTGTCGGGGTTTAGCATGCCTGGGAAACCAGGTGTCATTTGTGTCGAAGGCCCACAGAGTACTTGTGAAGAATTCTGGTCAAGGTTTGCTTTTTATATACTATATTTTGCTTTTAAGTAACATTGGTGGTTAGAATATTGTGCTTGTTATGTTGTGGTTCTGTACATTTGGTCAGAAGGTGGGCAACTCGTAGTACTGGTAAAATCAACATCTTGTCTATGAAAAGTATATGTTTTATATTTTATCACAATACATTTACACCTCCCACCTTCTGCCACTTCTTATAGCCATCAGGGCCATAAATTAGCCAGCAAGGGGTTCTCTTTGACTAGTGCATGCAGTGCTTTTCTTCTTGCCTCCCCCGTCAGCTCTACGTCAGCTGTGTAGCAAGAGTATGCTGTACCACCAGTCTCGTTAATATTTTTTATATTGCTTGTATCATTTGTATTTTCGTGTAGTGTAGACCTGGTTCAGCTCTGCCCATTTAGTAATAAAGAAAAAGGGTAAGAAAATTCCTCGCACAGACAAGGTGGAGGTGTGTAGTTATATTTAAATCCCAACTTTATTGACTGTTCTGTTCTGTAAAGAAACAATGCTCTGGTTCTAGGAATGTTTGCAGGTATGTATATGTTTGTTTGACTGATTGGCTAATGAGCTATAATGTGTATCCCAGGTATCTACACAATTGAAATTTGTCGATTCTCCTCCTTTCATAATCTGCTTCATAACATTTTATAAAATGTGCTACATTTTATGGATTCATATTTCCCTAATTGTTTTCAGAGTCAGAAGATTAACATGGCGGAGAATTTTAATTCGCCATAGAGAGGATATTTCTCTGGATGGGTCACATGCTGAGATGCAGAAACAAAGAAAATTCTCATCTTTTGAAGAAAAAGTATTTGATGCACATGGTACCAGAGGAAATCATATGGATCTGGGGCAGCTCTATCATTTTTTAGGTGAAAAGGGGTGTGCTGATGTTTTTCAGATGTACTTTGGAGTTGAAGGATGTTAGATCAGCAAGGATCCAATCAATGAACTTGAAAAATTATGTGACAGTCTTGGATAAATTATTCTTTTCCCCTCTGAAATAGTTGATCAGTGAGGGGAATGATTACTGCTCCTTTATAAGATGAATTCAGTTTTCCATGAAAACGAATATTCTTTTAAATAATGATCTATATGAATGCTTTAATATAAAGATATTTTTAAGGGAAAGATATGATGCTAATTACAAAGACAACGACAACAATAAACCAACAACAGCTTTTTGAGAGATGCTGTATGCTATTTATAATCTGAATTATTAAAACTTCACCTTGGAGAAGTTGATTATATCTATGTAATATAGTAAAAAAGATCCAGATGTTTGTGAAAAGTGTTAGTTTTGGGCAGAGATACAGCACATCATATTATAGACATGGGATTATATGTGTGTGTGTGTAAAATATGGAATGGGAAGGGAAGCAAACATGGGTGTGTGATTTTCGAATGATTACAGTTATTTTAAGCAGGCATCTCTGGAAAGAAATGTTGTCTTTTACATTATTGAACACTGTATTTACATACACTACCAGCAGATGTTTTGATTCCAAAACATTTATTTAATATTTGCTGCTTATAATACTTGCAGTTGAACATGGTGCTTTATAAAGATAGGCTTAGATCCTCCAAAGCCTTACTCATACAAGTAGTTTTATTGACGCCAGTGGGACTAGTCACATGAATAAGGACTACTCACACAAGGAAAAGGAGGTTTGAAAGATGGGGCCCACAGAAAAGACACACTAGTTGCCCTAACAAGTTTATAATTGATTATTTCAATTCTATTATTATTTCTATTTTAGTAGTGTTTAAAAACTTTGATCAGGATTGGTGCCCCATTGAGCTAGCCACGTACATAACAAAAAGGCGGTCCTTGCCCCCAAAAGTTTACAGTTTGCAAACTCTTTTTTATATAATTACTCCCACTGACTTAAATAGAAATCATATGAATAAGAACTACACACATGAGAGAGAATTTGCAGGATCAGACTTTGTATAATTTTGTGTCAGATTTCAATAAATTAATATACATTAATTCATAAGAAAAGACTGAACTCTTTATTATTTTCCCTAAAGGTAGTATTCTACATTGTAACAAACTTTGAAAGTTGTGTACATTTAATAAGCAGTACACACTGAGTGTCATGGATGGTGACATTCAAATCTCGTATGTAGGCAAAAATTGGTGAGACAGCTTTTGTGGTGGATATTTGATTTCAGCTCACAACACAATTCTGTTTCCTCTTTCGAACCCTGCTAAAGTATTGGTCTTTAATTGTACTAGAATGGATTTACTTAAGATTAAAAGAGTTATCCAAAGTGTACTAGGGAATTACAGTATTTTCAAAAATATTAGTAGAAGCTATGGTTTAAAAAGATATTTCAGTTTGGAACTATGTTAATGTAATTATCACAAAGATACAGCAGCAATTACTAAAAATGTTCATTTCCCATTTATCTGACCTCTGCAATCATTCTAATATAGATGTGTGTAACTATTTTTAAGGAATATCATATCAAGCTGTCTTGTTTTTGAAAAAAAAAAAAGCACTTCACGTACATCAAAATGTACGTTTGTGCATACTCCTGATTTAAGTACTTTCATGCATTTATCTTCTGAAAGGCTATGTCATGACACTTTAGGAAGCTTTACAGTATGTACTTTCAGATTTCTCTCTTTGGTTGCCATTTAAATTAAAAAGAACAGGAGTACTTGTGGCACCTTAGAGACTAACAAATTTATTAGAGCATAAGCTGAAGAAGTGGGTTGTAGCCCACGAAAGCTTATGCTCTAATAAATTTGTTCTAAGGTGCCACAAGTACTCCTGTTCTTTTTGCGGATACAGACTAACACGGCTGCTACTCTGAGACCTGTCATTTAAATTAAAGTGCAATAATTGGCCCATTTAAGTAAATTGAAGAACTTTCATTAATTTCAGTAGATTTTGGATCAAGCCCTATATGAAGGCTTAAATGTATTGAAGGGCAAATAGTGGATTGTAAAGTGTGCAGTTTAATGAAGTGTGACAGATATGGGAGTCTGCTGTCTGTCCACACACTGCAACATCATGGACAAGCTGCCATCTCTGGCTCAGTGGCAATCAGCCAGCCAGCACCCTGTACCTTGAATGCCAGCTGGGGAAGGTGCAATGTTGGTGAAGGAAATTCTACATCTGTGAAAAACAGTATTACCAAATCTTGTGGCATGTGTTGTTTTTTTGTTCAAGCCCCAGTTCCTGGAATCAAGTGATTTCATGGGAATCTCAATTTTCGTAACAATAAATAAAAAATATTTCTATCCCTGGCCTCATTATTAAGGACAAAAAGTGTAACCAGTGTACCCTAGAGGCATGAAATCCAGACGGGACATAAAAACCTAACATTTATTATTTGTTAAAAAAAACAACCTCGTGATTTTTAAGGCAGTTGATGATTTGGGGGGCCTGACTCCTGCTTTTCCAAGTGCCGGGCATTGGCGATGGTGGTGGAAAAGCGACCAGACCATGGTAGCCTCCCCGGACGGGGGGGCGCGTTGTTGTGGCAGGGAAAGCGGGGGGTGCCCCCAGGGCTCACGGGCTCCGCGGGTCTGGGGGCACCAGCCCGAGGGGGGCTCCGGGCTCAGCGTGGGGCGGGCGGTGCAGGCAGCGGAATCTCCCCTCCCCCCGCCATGGCACGGTCCCCACCCTCCTCCGCGCCGGGGGGAGGCTCCCCGGCCTGCAAGCGCCGCCCCCGCCGCTCCTCCCCGCCCGGCCCGGCTCAGCTCGGCTGTCTGCGGGTCCCACTCCGGCCGCTTCCTGCTGCGCCGCCGCCGCCGCCATGGGGGGGAAGAACAAGCAGCGAACCAAGGGCAACGTGCGGGTGAGTCCGCCCGGTCCGGGCGGCGGCCCCTCCAACCCCCAGGAGCAGGGGGTTGACTGGCCCCTTCCCCGGCCTGTGCGGTGGGGAACGTCTAGGCCTGGGGGGAAAGCGGCGGTGTCACCCCCTTCCCTTCCCCTGGTCTGCCCATGGGGTCCCAGCCCCACAGCCATGGGGCATGCGTGCCTGGGAGTGACACTGGGCCCGGGGTCTGCCCCACAGGGTGATCGGCCTTTGGAAGAGAAGAGCAGGGGGCTGGGACACTCCTGCTCACCTGAGACTGGAGATCTTCCTAACAGGTGTTACCCAGCCCAATCTAAGCTGCCAGGGTCAGGGCTGTGCTAGAAAAGGTTCGCCAGTGGCAAACCCGGCCCGTGGCGATGCACAGTATATGGGCAAATAAGTGCTTTTCTGGGTGTCGTTCATAACCATTACCCCCAATGAAATAAACCATACTAACAAAAACATGTTTATGCTGGGACAACCGCAGCTACACTAGGGTTTTTGGTCATATACCAATGTTGCAAAAAACCATATCCTTAGCCAACATGGCTACATCCCCAAAAATGTCTAGTATAGTCTGGTCTAAAGAGCAATAGTGCTTGCTTGCATGCTTGAGGGAATAATTCCTTCCTTTGTAGGAGTCGGTGGGTGGAATTCTGTGGCCTGTGTTAGGAGCCCAGGAGATCAGAGGTCCCTTCTGGCCATAATCTGAAATGTTACACAGGTTCACAGGCCATACTCTAAAGCAGTGGTTCTCAACCTATTTACCGTTGTGGGCTGCATATGCATCTCTCTATGTGTTACATGGGCCATATATCCACACAATATATATACTAGCTGTATGGCCCTGAGGATGTCACATGGGCCACCTCTGGTTGCTGATTGGGCCGCAAGTGGCCCACGGGCCTCATGTTGAGAACCACTGCTCTAAAGTCTGTTATCGTCCACAAGGAAATAATTGGCTACCCAAATTTGTATGCCTGCTCTCACTTTTTTGTTAATTCACATGGGGACTATGACCTGCAGCCAACCGGTGTAAAACGAAGCAGGTAGAAAACCCTTTTATATTTAAATTGGGGATGCAGCTTGCAGAGACTCAGCAAGCAATGTGACCATCCTGAAATACAGCACTGCCTTCAGGCGCCTGTCATCTCCATAGGTGGATTCTTGTCTGCTAGTAGAACTGGCAGGACTAGCCTGGTTGCCTGGTGTAAGATGGTGACTTTTCATTGGGGCTAGTCATATGCGAAGTTAAGTATGTGCAGAAACGTCTGTGGGCTCATGACCTCATTTCCTCTGTTGCTTGTGCAGGCCTTTTCAGACAGCTGTGGGTAAGAGACTTCTTTTAAGAAGAGAAAGATGTGATCACAAATTGGCGTGGGTCTTGAACTAATGTAGTATCTGTAATTACACTTAATTTATTTTAAATGTACAAGTTTTCAGCTTCTGTTCTGTATAGGCTCTTCTAGTGCCACATCAGCATGGTATCTGAGGCCAAGATCCACAGAGGTATTTAGTTTCAGTGGAAGGTAGGAGTCTAGATATAGAACCCTGCAAATCTGTAGATATCCACTTTATATCTGCAGATATCGACGGACCATGTTTGTGGATTGTGAATGAATGCAGATCCAAATTTTATATGTAGAGCACTGCAAATCTGCGGATATCCGTGGACCATGTTTGCGGATCGGATGTGGTTACAAATTTTGTATCTGCACAGGGCTTTACCTAAATACCTCTGTGGATCTGGACCTGAGTGCAATCCAGAAGTGATGTGACATCTGTCATGTGTGGTTTGTTCATTCTCTTCCCAGGGGAAGAATTGTGTGTGCAGTGTAATGTTTAGTTTGGGTAGGGTTTTTTTTTAATATGTACACACTGCTATATGTTTATATTAGGGAAGACAAAGGAACGCTGGGAAATGCATCATTATGACAGATTTTAAATTCACAGAAATTACTCAGTTCAAAGTTATGGTGGCCACATCAAGTGTAGCTTAGCCACCATGTCTGTAGTAATTTTATGCCTAATGATCACAACATTTCTATTGTTATTTGTTTTTTAAAAGAAAACACCAACAACTTGTGAAAGTTAACTGATACTTTGTTACACTTTTGCTGAACCTTAGGAACAAGGGCTGTTAATTAATTGCAGTTAACTCAAGTGATTAACTCAAAATAAACTAATTTGATTAAAAAAATTAATTGTGATTCATCACAGTTTTAATTGTCCTGTTAAACAATAATAGAATACCAACTGAAATTTATTAAAAATATTTTTGGATGTTTTTCTACATTTTAAAATATATTGATTTCAGTTACAACACAGAATACAAAGTGTACAGTGTTCACTGATGACCCTTGTTTAA